ATTAGCATTGAATTTCAAAACTAATTGAGAACTTCAATTTTTCGATGTGTCATCTGATCGTAGACGCGATGAGTCAAAAATCGTGGTTAAGATGACGACCGAGTCTTAATCGACATTTAACTATGTGAGCATGAATGCTTGGTTGAATTTTCCGGGTGTTTAAACACGCCTAGTAAGCTCATGTCGATTGCTGTCTTGCCTTCTAACAGCGCAAAGGCTGGACGCAATCATCGCTTACGTGGAGTCATCTTCCGCATGCTTGGTGACTAGTGAGTATTGTTATTTCCTGTCGAGGATGAGGTCTGCTAGACGCAGACCTGACAGAAGAGACATTTCATGAAAGGTGGGACTTACTGCTCAATTCGGGAAAATATCAGCATCGGAACCCCCGGCTTTGGGAAGTGGTGGTAATCCTTGTAAAATGCAGAGGCGTTGTGAAATAATGTACGACGCGCAGCTGTCAAATCAGATGACGGTTCCCGAACGCATGAATAGCAGAACTTTGTGTGAATGCTGAAGCCGAACAAGATGTGACCTAGCTTAAACGCTAATAGCCACGCATCAACAAGAAGTCGAACATCTTTTAGACCGTTAATGCTTCATGAAACACCTCTACCAGGAGGCAGAAACGCGTTTAAAGCGATCATGAGGTAGTGATAGCTTTGGAGCCAAATATAGGAATATCCAAATTGATTCAATGAGCAAAGATGATGCCGAGTACCTGAAGCAAAACGCGAAAGGCAGAAGCTGTGTCAAACGGTGGTCTCAGGATGAGGCAGAAGATAGAAATCGTATATAGTGGCTTTTAGAGTGCGCTTCAACCAAGAGAGGACTGGGCGGCATGTCGTGGTCCCCAGTTTGTCCTTCAGTGTGACATTGTATTACAGCTATAGATAGTTTATATAGTACCATAACGGGTAATGATGGGTATCTATAGGTTGCAAGCAGAAGGGCTATTCCCTGAAGTTGTTACAGATTGTCCAGCTCATATAAGTATATTAGAAAAAACGAGTCTAAAGTAAGCCCATCGCGCAAGACAGTAGGACATTTACTAGTGATTTAGATTGATGGAGCAGTCCTTTGGGTTGCAATTCTCCCCTCACTATCGACGGTTGAAACTTTCACTGATCTAAATGAGTCATTTATAAACGATGCTTATAAAATTTGCATGAATGTAAAGTAACCGAAACGGTATGGTTGATTTCAGAGAGACGAATGACACTGAGTGCGAAGTGTAGAACTATATTAAGAATCCTACTGATATTTTTATGTCTCGTTAAGGAAGCTTTACAACGTGGTAAAGGGGAATGATCAGCCACATTGAGGCCGAGACATGCAAGATGTCTCCCGGACAAGTAGTGCGTGATAGATTTAACCTGGTGTCTAAACAAAAATGCAGCACCACAAGACAACAACCAATACTAGAGAAAAGTGATGTATAGACGCATTCTTTCATGCAATGGAGATAATAATATATTCGTTTTGCTACAGTGCCTGCCTCAAGTGCTCTTGGAGTGTCCCGTTCATTTTCGAACGTATCAGTTGGAATCGCAGAGCTTAAGCGCTCTTCGGAACGACGAATTGAATTCGGATATCGATTTCTAACATTTGCGATCAGTGCTCGCAAATGAAAACACTACCCCAACTTTTATTGGGCCATTTTTCCTGTGCTGATTAGCTTCCACTTCTGGACTTTGTAATGAATTATGGTCTGAGAGCAGATCCCACAAGGATCAAAGGCATAGCATGCTAACCAGTACCTCAGCCCCAAAGAGAATCAAGGGTGTGCCTTGGCCTGGCCAACCGCTTGCACCATCAAAGCTCAATTTGCACCACCCCTCACCAATATCCTTGGAAAAAGATATCAATAGTGCTGGAACGAGGCAGAAAAATTCTTCAAATGTGTTAATCATATATGTTTTACATCTATAACTTTGCATTGGTCATGTACTGTTGTCTGTGACTTATCAGACTTGCCCGCAAGCATGGGATATACTCCAAGATGATATCTACGCATCGCAGCGGTCGACAGAAAAATACTATCCTGCTCACAGACAGGAGATAATTGCAATAAACTATGCTCTTGTCTCGACTTGCTTGGCTTTCAGCTATTCGTGATCGATACGGATCATGTGTTGTTGTACACAGCGACGTCATTACAATATTTCTCACTAAAAAGGAAAAATGAACATCCTACTTAGCCGATTATATAATCGAGATACGGTGTCTGCCAAGCTAGCTTAAAGATGGAATTAAACTCTTCTGCGTTGATCTGATTAACGCCTGTCTCATGACACGATGGTGACGTTGCTTATTGATTTGGATAAACGCACAGCGAGTAGATCAGACGCAACATGTACTGCGTTGCCGAACGCTTCGAAAAGGAGCGATTCTGTGAGATTCAATATTCCTTTGTCAAAGCAGTTGGTTGCACGTTTGCATAACTCTTCCTTATCCTGCAGCTTGCTGTATAACAGCATTGGCTTAACGTGTGGCAGAATTTTATGATGATGAGATCAAGTATAGATTGCTATGCAGGACTTATGACACGATGCAATAAGTTATGTTGAGGGCAATAATCGTTTGCTAAGCCAGATGTAGATCGCTGGTAAAGAGCTGAAACCCTGAGTAAGAATCTCCCTGCCAAACGTCTCTTTTTCTCAGTGAGCAAATAAAGCCTTTTGTCCCTTGGTGAGCTCAAAAGCATATTGTCAGAATTCGGAGAGCTGTAGTCTTGGATTCCTCATTAAAAGAGACTGATGCTCATTGACGAGAGAATTGCGTCTTTTTCACGGACCAGTTTTTAGCCATCAGAGCACGTTAGGGAAAAACATTCGGAAGCGCTGTAGGTGCTGATTGGGCAATCACTTTGTGTATTTTTGAATCCAACAACATACATGTGAATCCTAGCGTGGTTGACGTCGAAGAAGGGGGTTTAGTGGACACGTACCGAATTAGCATACGCTACACAACTAAAAACTAACAAAGTGATGACTTCGTACAGGTGTGGTCTATCGGACACAGAACCACAAGTCTGATGCAGCGCAGTACATATAACTTTTAATGTTGGAAATGGTAGCGCACAAAAGCAAAGTGGTACAAAGCTCCATGAGACTCTTGGTTTCGCTCTGAGGTAAAGCGGACCTGAGCGCCCTCTGTGCGTTAAATTACGGGGACTCGTTGCTTTAAATTACTCATTTTAAATTGCATGGCAAACCCGCTGGAATGCGGCCTGTGTTTTCTAGAACTAAATATTCGTTCGCGAGAGGTCTTTTAATCGACTCGACGTGAGAATCAAGCCTCTTGTACAACCGATACAGAAGAAGCGAAACACGACGCGATGCATAAATTGTCGTTCTCTTGCTTCTTAGCTCGAAGTGCACCTGGCGCGCTGGGTATACACTTATTATTTGGTTACCTTAAAGTCCTACTGGATTACTCCCCTTTGTAGTCCGACCGAATTTTTTCGATTGAGAGTGATAATCTGTGATGCGGACTACTTTCTTATAGCCAGCTGGGTGTACGGTCTTCTGTACGCATATGTGGCGAGCATTTTATACATAGTTTGACTGTTACTGACTCCAGAGAATATTAAGCTGACATCACGGTCATTATCGTGAAAAGCGGTTAAAAGTAGCCAGCAATCTTTCCTCTACGTGTATATACGATCTTAGACCGCATGCAGTAAGGGTAAGGACACCCAACATATGTCGCTTGAAAGTTGCCAAAATTATGAATATTTCGATGATTAGCCGCATGCTAGTGCCCAATCCTGTGTGTGGACTTGCATACCACTCGCGCAGCGCATTGTTTCTCAGTATATAGACAAAGGCAGTTAACATAGCCCTATCAAAGTCGGTGTTCAAAGAATGTTATCTCCTTCATCTTTGCATTGAAGGAATTATACCATCAACAAACGCAACATTTGTCCAATTGAGCTCGGTCAATGTCTGTCTGATATTTGCCAGTGTACAATCTACATTATGCTAATCCATGAGGTGTTTTGCTAGCGCTGTCTCATATTTCCTTGCACGTGGAAACCGCGTCGGGCGTTGGGACGCTATTTTTTGTAATCTTCGCGTGACCAATTACAGACACAATTTCATCACGGTGTCCTGCTGACCTTGGGAGTGATAGGCAAAAGTATTTTCTGTAATCCTCACAGGGGGGCAAAATTGTTTTGAAACTCAGTCGTAGATTTTGGCAAGTTTTTTTTTAGTACAACGAGGTTACTGCAACGAGATTGCCGTCTTGTTTGAAGGGATGTCTAATGCTCACGTAAACAAATGCTCGGAGGTTGGGCTCAAGGGATTCTACTAGAGAACCACTAACGTAGGTAGGTATGTAGCTAGCTCTGCTATTTCAACGGTATACAGAGAAAATACTTTCAAAACCAAAACTTACTATGTTTATTTCGATATCTCTCACAATATGCCTTTATTCTTGACGTGCGGCTGTGTACCACGGAATGTTCTTTTACGTAGTTCCACATTTCCATTAAGGCCGTACTAATTAGAATATGCAATTTCACCAAGCTGCAATGTGAAATTTGAACACTTGCAGAGTGTTGATCCTAACCAAGATGTAAGCCACACACTGATGCTTAAGCCTTTATTTCAAAGACACTACGCAAAAGGAAACCGCTCTATGAGCTATTATTGCACATGTAGTCCAGGACCATCCTTTGACTTTACCATTTCTGCTCCTCAAATCTTACTTTCACCATGAGATTTATTTTGTGCAATAAAAGAAATGGGTTAACGCAAAAGCCTGGTCTTCTAGACTGACGCGCTAAGAAATTCTAGATGTTGATTTCTGATTAGGTAATCCGCAGTGACTTTTTATATCTCTAGCAGACACCCGCCCACACAAGGCAATACAAAGCCGTTTATCAAGAAAAAAATATAAACTGATATCAACGTCTTCGTACTCTATGCACGTTTTCGTTGGCGGGATGTGTTGCAACACACCGCCGTGGAGCTCCCAACGATGTCCAACTTGCTCAACTGTAAGCGCGAAAGTCATACCCACTTTGCATAATCATCACACCGTGACAACAGTATCGAACAGGTGTGAGTTGCTCTCTGCGCGCTAGAACAATTACACACCTACGCATGCTGGCCATCCGCTCACATAGCGAACGACATGAGCTCGTAAAACCGGCTTTGCGAGCGCTTAATCTAGTTATTCTTCCGGCGTACTACCTGCTCTAAAAACAGCAGCGCTAAAGAAGGTCAATTTCCTTCATGTGTATTGCATATTGGGTACTTGATGCTGGAGAGAATGTCGGTAGGTACCAAGCTCAGTTTGTGCACTGGCTGAAGAAAATGCTCGGTTTTTTCACTCATCTCAGGGCCTTACAGCCAGCTTCAGAAAAGCTAGGATTCGTCTACATCATTGACTCATGGTTGACTTTGCAACGTACAAAGCACGACGCGAACGTCAAGGCAGATTTCATTCACTTCCTGCCAGTACAGACCCGCTTGCCTCTACGAGGTAGCCGCAACAGCAACCGAATAAAGTTTTTCTCACTCTCAGATTTGTTCCACGCTCGAGAGTAGGATGAGCGCTACGACAAAAAAATCGTTTCTCGAAAAGAGAAAAGCCGAAGGTGCTCCGAGTTGTCAGCGGTAAACCATGTGAGGCAATATTCACGAAAAACATCTCAAATTCACATATAATATGCCGACACCAAACATTTCAAGTAAAACTGAGCCACCCCTAGCTCATCAAGAAGTAACGTGCGAAGATCGACCCTCCCGCGATGGCCCACGTGACTTCATTTTGTCGTGCGGCACGGTGACTCTCTTTGAAAGCGGCCGCCGGCGACGATAATTGACAAAAGTCAAATCCCGAATTCGCTCTTCAAAATCTGACATCTGACCGCAATCTTCCGGCGGCAAGAATTGCTTTCCTGCTTCGAAGAAGATGGTAGCTCTAAACAGGGGAAGGTTTCAAAAATTATCCGTCCACAACAAAGCTTTTCGCATCCGACTCTCTCGTACGAGCGGATTCGCAGTATGGCTTCGGCAAGCCTATGTAGTACACAGGACGTCATTGCATTTTTGTGAGGCATCGATATAATTAAATATATTTTTTGCCAAAAACGTGGACGGTTTGATATAATGACGTTTAACTCTCTATCAGTCACTGCATTAAAGGTGAGCTAACTGTGATCCATCTCCTTTGGTGTTAGGGACGATTCCACAAGGATTGCACACGTGGCACAGCATAAGATTACTTGCGCAAGGATAAATGATTGCGTGCATAAAAAAATTTAGGACAGGAAACAGCTGGTTCGACAGAAATGATACCGTCCACACAAAATGAAAGAAATATCATATAAAAGAAAAACTTCAAGATCAAGTTGAGTAACGAAGACAGGTATTGAATACCTACAGAATAAAGGTAGAAGTAGGCAAGGATCAGACTTAACCATTTCAATCTCACTACTTAGTTGCCTTCCAATCATCAGGCATTCTTACTGGCGATAGCACTTGTTGGTCCTTTGTCTTCTTTGCCTCACCTTACTAAACCGCTCACCTTCGCCTCGTTTCAACACATCGATCTTTATATCTTCTTGGCTGCATGTTTATGCTAACACACGCCTACAACAAACGTTTGTCGATAGCACAAGCAACAATCGTTCGATGCTCAACTTGTATGCCGTTTGTGCTTGCGCTGTCCACGAGATCAATAAAAATCACACCTCAATTGTTCATTAATTTTGTGGTTTGTGTATTTGCTGGCGATTGATGTGAGCTTCCAAGCTGACAGGGGAAGCGCACGCTCGAGATCAGGAACTCGTCGAGTCCTTTTATGCTCCGCTATCAGACAACACCGACAACCTTGACCACCTTCGCTTCACATTCGCTCGCTCTAAAGTCAGTATAACCTCGTTTGGGGTATGTGCAATCCCAACTGCAAAAAGGATCTTCAAGAAATGTCAAATCGTATCCAGATTGCCCCAGTGGAGTCGCTAGCGTCTGTACAAATCTCACCAATCTCAAAGTAAGGCGCGTCACGAATGAACAAGAAGGTAAGGTGCGTAATTTTCTTAAAGTTACAATTGTTATCATCAGCAGAGCAATAACTGCAAGTGTGAATTATCACCCAGTTTTATCAAGTTAGGTTCAATCTGAAGTCTGCGTCTTAATATTGTAGATACCTTAAGCGAAATGCAAAGAAGAAAAAATATCAACAAACGATAGCGAAACAAAATTAGATATCGATGAAAAATGACAGAAACGACATGAAAAAGGAAAAAATCAGAGCTTTCTTCACGATATCGGGAGAAATGCTGAAACCGATTGTGGATTTCTGAGAAGTAGTAATACTTAGTTAGCACACACTGGCGAAAAAATGGCACATCACCGCTTCATTCTTAAAGCAAAATTGGTGTCTTGTCGACCTTTACCTCGACTAGCTGAAACGATTCAAGAATGTCAACTGGGAATATCCAGCTAATGAAGCGCGCATTGCGATAAAGACGGCCAACTTTCGTAGCGGCATGGTACATGCTAAACCGTAAAGAGATCCACGATATCCAAGAACTCATGCATTTGCCCCCCAAATGAATTTGTACCGAAACACAATTCGCATCGCTTGCGCGATTAGTTGTTGAGCTTACGCCAAAGTGATTGCTGATCTTTTGTAGATTACACTGACTGAAGTCTGCATGTTGCTGATGCAAATCCGTGAGGTTCGTGGACTAGACTTTTATTTTATACGTGGTCCTGTGTAACAGCTGGGTAGAATGTAGAGTACCACCACTTCGACGATATCTCTGAGCCTTTTTTGTTGCGTTGTAATATGATCGTACCTCTTGGATAATAATTCCAGCAGTGTGCTGACTATTGACAGCGATTCAATCGAAGGTTATCACCACCAATATTTCACCAACCTTATCAACGTTACAAAGACAAGACCGTCCGAACTGAACTTTATAGCGTTACAATGGACCCAAGCAAATGCAAATCGACGTTTCGCAGCTCGCCAGTCAACAACTGCCAAATATTCCACGCTACTATTGAATGAAAACGGTTACCTAATTTACGAATAATACAAGACGAGAAGAATAAATTACGTCAAAAGAATCAACAAAGTTCACGTCATCGGTCGCTAAGAATAGCCACCGTCAGCTACTTTCAGTTCGAAGAGCAAAAGCAAGAACTCTTCTATGAAGCCAACAACTGCGAGTCATTTACCTAATTCCAAACTGATGCAACACCATAGCCGAGTAAAGGAGAAATTAAGGAAGTACATTACTCGGCTAAATAGAAAAGAGCCTGGAGACCTTAAGTTGGTTTGAATTCCAGCGAACTGTATTAGAAAAGACGTCATAGTCATGTCTGTCAGTGGTGCCACAAATAACTTGATCAAACCGGAGACATTAAAAGGTTAGTGAGGAGGCTCGGATCAAAGTCAATTGTTTGGGTGGCAAAAAACCGACCACTCAATCCGCCAAAAGGGTAAAGCAAATAGCGATTTTATTGACCGCAAGTTTAAATTCAATGTGGAAGAGTAGAATATGAGTAACGCTCAGGATATAATCTTAGGCGAGCCTTTTTAACGTTGACTCAGCCGCAAATAAATTTTTGCTTAGCTAGTGTGTGGTATATGTCAGAAGAAAACACCGTTCCAACTATTAACGTTCCAAGCGCCAGTTTAATAAGAAGCTAAGTACAAAGAATTATTTTGAGTCTAAATTTGTCAATTCTGATCATAAGATACCAAAATCTCACAACAGCTAATAAGTTGATTAATGCCTATCAAGGAGCGTTTCCTGAAGTATTGTCAGATGAAACACCGCCTTAGCGTCGTGTTGAAATTAATTTGAGTATAGAATCTGACGCTAAAAATCAGCAACCTTCTCAGCTTTCCAAAGCGAAAAGATGCAGTTATTCTCTTCAACAATTTTTTTTACAATGGCGGGATCGAATTAAGCAATTTACTAAAGATGTCCAATTAGTCTGGCATCCCGATTAGAGACCCGAAAATAAAAAACAGCCGTTAGGATCTCAATGAAGACGCTCGGGTATTTTTATCGATTCGTAGGTAACTGACTATCGTTATTTAACTCACAAACGGTATTTTAAACAGTTTAATTATCATGAATTGAAGAGCTTCCGACAAGGTGTAAGGTGCTACCATCTTCTCAGTGCTTGGTCTTGCACAAGTTTATCATCAAATGCGTGTCTCGCCGAAATCACGCAAGTATACAGCATTTTGTACCACTCTATCTATTGTTCGTCGCGCCGATGTGCTTATCAAGGATGTCTGGTGTTGGGTCGCGCTACTATTCGAGAAATATTTTTTCTTTGTCGTGTATCTTCACGACATTTGCGTCTTTTTTACCACTATGGAAGAGCATGTCCTGCATTTAAATAATTCATTTGAAGTGTTGCGTCACAAAGATCATACACGCATATAGCAAAGCGCCACCTTACTGTAACGTCTGTGAACTTCTTTAGATACACGATTTGCGCCCAAGAAATTGAGGTTGACACAACGAAAACCGACGCGATTACCACCTCCAACAGATCATCCATCACAACTCCTATTTGATCAACATCCTCGTCCAGAACGTCTAGGTTCGAAACATCGGCATCCATACTGCTGACACAATCCGTCTTGTAGCGCTCTCGAAACAAAGTATCGTACACGCCATGTCGAACAGCAAACCATTCTTGGTAGTTGTCTGGTATACCATCAGCAATGACGGAATTCGACTGGCCGGGTATTGCCATATTTGGTGGTCACTCTCCTTCCACGCAATAATTTGGCGTGCAAATGTTCATTTGATATCGATAAGAGCAGCCTGAGCTACAAGGTGAGCCCACCAGGAGATACACATATCTTGTTATTGTACTTACGCCGCTTTGCCCAGTCCCAATTAAAAAAATTCTATTGCTGGCATTTACCATAGGGAAATGCAAATTGATCCAGCGCTTAAGAAGCGAAGCGTCAACCACGTCTTCTTTTTATACGTGACGAGCTCTCCATCAATTTTCACGAAACTGGCCTTTAGACCTCTTTTCCTGATCAAATTGGCGGCAGTTTCTTCCGGCCGTGCTCGCCGCAAGAATGACAATGATGCTCTTGAATGCATACCCTTGGATCAAAAAATTGCGGGACAAACAGGAACTAGGTTAACTATCTGGTTGCGTTCGTCTCCAAAATACACGGCGATTTCGTCCAAAAACACTATCTAGTCAAGATCCAAGATCCATGCGTGGCCGCTGTGTAATGGGGTCAGTCGCATTGCACATTTAATGTAAATCATATAATATTTGTGTGGTAACTGTTAACTATATATCTTGCATGGTTTTATATTCTTGAATTCTACTACAACAGCGTTTGGAGGCACTTATCCGTTTAGGGAGGTTTGAGGCCTCCCTAAACGGATGTTGGCGATAACAAATGTCACTTCACCTTTTCCTCCTAGTTCGCGTAAATTGATGGCTCGCTGGAAGCGAACAACACGCGGTAAAGCGTGCAAAGCGAGCTAAGTCCTTCTCAGTAAGTGCGTGAACCGGACGGGCAATTTCCGTTAGTCGCTGCTCATGCATTGTATAGCATGTAGCTGACCGCTCGTTCAACAACAACTTCGTCGGTCAGAATGCTCAAACTATTGCACGACTAAAAGAGAGGCCGCAGCAAGCCATGACATTCTAATTTTAGTGTTAGACCTGGCGAATTTCTCTTGTGGGACGTCGTCTTCGCGGAGAGATGCATAAATTGCAGTACCCGTGTTCGATGTTACGTCTTGGCCGATTTTTCCTTATAGGACTTGTTTGTGATTTCAACGTAAAGTAAATCTTCTTTTGTGCTGGATACGGGCTTGTGACCTCCACCACAAAGGTGCAGCTGGTGTGGTTTGGTCGTCATAATGTCCGCTTGGGTTTGCGCCACTTTCTGAATGCGGCACCGTCCACAGCAAGACCGAGTGATCGAATACGAGCAACGGCTCTATTGGTCACGCGCCCGCCACAATTTTCAATCCGCATAATAACTTCTTGCTTTCGCCATATCAAAATGGCGTTGCAGCGTTTGGCCTTTCCTGTCAGCGGTGACAGGGTGCCACAAATCGAAAATCCAGATGAAATGTTAAAACTTCTATTACGTCAAACTTCCAGCCTTGGACATTTTTTGCAACTCTAAGCCAATCAAAGCAGAATTCGCACTGTCGCCGCCGGAAGCTCCCTACGGAAGAGGAGACTCACAGCCGACAGCCCATATTTGTCAGATCATCTGAGGTAATTATAGCGAGGTAGTGAATACTGTATTTTTGAGGGCACTATTCGGGACTGGACTTTTCGTGGAAAATAGTTAGATTTGAAATATACTTAGAAAAAAAAACATAGTAACCAATCAAAACTCATCAAAATACCAAAAGGTATGGTAAATTAGCACGTTGAGAAACCATGACGCACTCGTTAAACCCATTAGAAAAGTCCACTTTGCCACCAGCAACATCAGTGGCACCTGATCCAATATATACCACCAACCGGTTGCAATAGAGGTACTTTCGATGTTCCTTATCGAAATCGAGGGAAAAATAAGTTAGCTGCTTTATATGGCCCATCCTATCTGACGAAAGGTTAAATGTTCACTCCTAACAGCTTAAAATTGTGCCCTTAAACCATTTTCATGAAGTTTTAAAGTATTTCAAATATTAGCTCCATTTTCAAGTCATCATTGCTCAAACTCAATGGGAGGCAAGCGGCGGCTCAGTAGCATAGAGGATGAAACTTCATCCGCAGCCCTGACATTGGCGGGGAAAACAGATCTAATCAAACGTACGCGTATCACCGATATTGTGACCGCTGATTCGGCAGTTGTAGCGTCTAAGCGCGTGGAAGACCGAGCGTCAGGCCTCTTGGCGCCAACGATGCTGCTATCAGGACACTCCGCTGCCGTGTACTCGCTTAAGTTTAGTCCGACAGGTCAACATGCTGCTACAGGATCGTTTGATCGTAGCATCCTTCTGTGGGATGTGTATGGTGAGTGTCGCAACTACAGCATGCTGAGCGGTCACAAGAACGCGGTGCTAGAGGTACAATGGACATACGACGGTACTCAGGTGGTATCTGCTTCGGCCGATAAAATGGTTGGATTGTGGGATGCTGAAAGTGGCCGTCGTATCAAAAAGTTTACGGGTCACTCGTCAGTAGTCAACAGCTGCTGTCCCGTAAATAGTGGCCCCACACTCATTGTAAGCAGCAGTGATGACTGTAGCTTCAAAGTTTGGGATGTGCGCTACAAGCGCGCTGTCAAAACGTTCGAGAACAAGTTTCAAGTCACAGCTGTCTGTTTTTCTGGTGATAACTCTCACATCATAGCTGGTGGACTGGACGGAGATATCAAAATTTGGGATCTCCGCAATGATGATATAAGCACAGTATTGCAGGGCCATGTGGACATTGTAACGAGTGTTAGTCTCAGTCCCGACGGCACTCACTTGCTGTCGAATGCAATGGATTCTACAGTACGGAAATGGGATGTTCGACCATTTGTCACTGGAGAACGACTTAAAACCACGTTTATGGGAGCCAAGCACAGTTTTGATCGAACGCTGATTCGCTGTGGATGGTCAGCTGATATGCGGTTTGTATCAAGCGGCTCTGCTGATCGTTACGTGTACATTTGGGATGCCGAATCGGGTAATTTGCGCTACAAGCTTCCAGGGCATACAGGCAGCGTAAATGAGGCAACTTTCCATCCTACAGAGCCCATCGTTGGCTCGTGCAGCAGTGACAAAAACGTTTACTTGGGAGAGTTAACGGAACTGTAGAAGGAATGGAAAAGAGAGCTAACAGATTTAAAACTCAATGAACTAATCATTATAATTTACTCCAAAAGTATATATGAATCGTAGAAATTTTACAGCTCGACTGCGGGGGTCTGGTGGCCAGCAAAGCTCTCCCAAATGAGAGGATATCCGTTTTTCTCAAGTTGATGTTTGAGCTGAACAGCGTGGTCACTTGATTGCGTTTCGACAACGCACTTGACCGCCACGTGAGAGATACTAGCGTGCACCCATGCACGCTCATGGTAAATATCCTTGACGCTCACACCAAAATCCCGCAGAAAGCTGGTGAGCTGAGCTATACCGCCCGGACGATCGCTCACCGTGGCCACAAAGCGCACAAGTCTTCCATCGGCAGCCAGACCACGGTCAATGACACGGCCAAGCACAGGAGTGTCAATGTTACCACCGGTCAGAGGCAGCACGACACGCTTTCCCATAAGCTCCGGTAACTTGTCGTCAATCAAAGCGGCGAGCGACGAAGCCCCTCCGCCTTCCACAACGATTTTTTCCATCTCAACAAGGCGCAGAACACTCAAAGCAATCGAACGCTCCGAAACGGTTACAACCTTGTCTACGTGTTTACGGGCGATTTCAAATGCATTTGTGCCAACGCAAGGAACCGCAAGGCCGTCAGCAAGCGTTGGCTTCGTCGGCATGTTTACAGGCATGCCTGCTTCGAGTGCCTCTTTAAAACTTGAGCAATACTCCGGTTCCACTCCCTAGAGAGCAATTTCATCACATACATTACTTTTAACTCAATAATGGGGTGCAGTAGCATGACCAGTACACGTACAATAACTTGGACATTTGGAGCAAGAGTCTTGACGGCCAACGCGACACCTGCAATTAAACCACCACCGCCAACAGGAACGATAATAGCATCCACTCCAGGTACTTGATTCAAAATCTCAATCCCCATGGTACCAGCACCAGCAATTATCTCTGGTCGATCGAATCCATTAATGTACACCATGTTCTAGAAATTAATACTCGTTAATTTCGCGCACATAAGCAAAATTGTA